GCTAGGGCACTATAATTAGGTACAAATTTACGGTAATACCCGGCGGTCCCTAGAAAAGCTAAAACCTGAGTTTTCGTGCGAGGGGTTGGCCACTTCGCTACGGCCTCTATCTTAGCGGGTTCTGGCTTTTGCTGCCCACTGCCCACCCTGTGGCCCAAGTACTGCACTTCGGCCATCCCTACGTGGCACTTGCTGGGTTTTAACGTGAAACCTGCCTCCCTGATCCGGTCGAGGATGGCTCCTATATGGGTCAAGTGTTCGTCCCAAGAGTTGCTAAATATTGCTATGTCATCTAAATAGGCGCAAGCATACTCCTGGGATCCGTCCAGTAACCGGTCCACCATCCACTGAAACGTAGCCGGCGCATTCTTCATCCCGAATGGCATCACCTTGAATTGGTATAGCCCAAACGGGGTGACGAATGCGGACTTTGGGATGGCATCCTTGGCTAGTGGGATCTGCCAGTACCCTTTGCACAAGTCTATTGTGGTGAGGTACTGGCCCCTGGCCATTTTATCTAAGAGCTCATCGATTCGGGGCATGGGATAGGCATCTGAAATTGTTTTATCATTAAGTTTCCGGTAGTCGATGCAGAAGCGGGTGGTTCCGTCCCGCTTCGGTACCAGCACTACCGGAGAGGCCCATGGGCTGAGTGTTCTATCACTCCTAGTTGTAACATTTTGTCAATCTCCTTCCGCATATGATCTTTTACGGATTCGGGTATGCGGTAGGGGGTTTGTCGAAGAGGGTGTTGCCCTGGGGTTTCTACCCTGTGGGTAGCCAGCAGGGTATACCCGGGCTGGTTGGAGAATGTATCCCCTTTTTCCCGGATCAGCTCTAGTATTTGAGCTCGCTCTCTAGTGTTCAGCCTGTCTCCTAGCTGTACTTCCCCTAATTCGGTGTTGGCCCCCCCTTGGGCTAATAGGTCTGGTAGGGGTAGATTATCCGGGTCCTCGGCGGCCGAGGCACATATGGCAGTTACTTCTTCGGTCCGCTCGTGATAGGGTTTCAGCATGTTAACGTGGAGCATGCGTCTACTGCCTGCTCCTGTACATGGGGCAATTATATAGGTGGTGTCACATACCTGTTCCACCACCTTATAAGGGCCCTGCAGTTTGTCATTTTGGACTGGCTTCAAGATTAACACCTTTTGTCCTATTTGAAAACTGCGGTCTCTGGCATCCCTATCGTACCATCTGCGCTGTTGTTGCTGGGCCGCCTGGAGATTAGACCGTACCGTCTGGATTAGGGTCTCCAAGCGTTCCCTGAACTCTAGTACATATGGGACGATAGGGGTACCGTTACTGGTGACTGTTCCCTCCCAGTGTTCCCTAATGAGGTCTAAGGGACCCCGCACTCTCCTTCCGAATAGTAATTCGAATGGCGAGAACCCCGTGGACTCCTTGGGTACCTCTCGGTACGCGAAGAGCAGATGGGGAAGAAACCTTTCCCAGTCCTTCTGGGTATCCATGAAGGTACGGAGCATTTGCTTTAAGGTTCCGTTGAACCGTTCACAGAGCCCATTGGACTGGGTGTGATACGCTGAGTTTACAATAGGTTTCACCCCACATGTTCTCCATAACTGATGAGTGACTTCGGCTGTGAATTGGGTACCCCGATCTGAGATAATCTCTTTGGGGAACCCCATTCTGGAGAATATCCGGATTAGGGCATCTACTATAGCCTCTGCATGGATATTAGTTAGGGCTACGGCCTCTGGGTACCGGGTGGCATAGTCTACTACGGTTAGTATATACTTCTTCCCTGACGGGCTGGGTTTTGCTAGGGGTCCGATTATATCTACTGCCACTCTACTGAAGGGTTCATCTATTATGGGTAGGGAGTGCATTTTTGCCTTGTACCGGTCCCCTCTCTTCCCTACTCTCTGGCATGTGTCACAAGTTTGGCAATACTGCCGAATATCTTTGGAGACCCCTGGCCAAAAGAAGTTTTGGGTCAAACGATGCTTCGTCCTACTGACGCCTAGATGTCCTGATAAAGGGATGTCATGGGCAATACGTAGTAATTCTTGCCTGTACTTTCGGGGCACGACTAATTGTGTGAGGGTCATGGGTACAGATCCTGCTACTACCTTCTCAGCATATCTATACAATAATCCTTTCTCCCAAGTGTATCTTTCCCCCTCCAACCCTGCCTGATTCTGTGTAAAAAAAAAAAGGAGGATCCTTGTTCATATACTGCTGCCTGATCACTATAGCGAGCGCCTATTCTCTTCCTTTTTTTCCCTGATTCTGTGTAACCCTATCCCAGTATACCTGCAGGGACAGGTCGGTGACTACTTCAGTACCAAATTCTAAGGGGGGAGCCCAGGGGACGAAAGGTGGGTCAGTACTGTTACTTACCGGAGCCTCAGAGTGTTCAGAAGATGCGGTGGTGTGGGCCTGCTGCCGTGTTACCACGGGTAGCGCTTCCTGCGCGGGGTGCTGAGAAACAAAAGCGGAGGTCAGCTCCCCCAAGTCGTTACCCAGGATGACATCAGCTGGTAAGTCCTGCATGAGGCCCACTTCCACATTCCCCGACCCCGCTCCCCAATCCAAATGTACTTTAGCAGTGGGAATTTTGTAAATCGCTCCCCCTGCCACCCGGACAGCCACATATTCTCCAGTGAGCTGGTGCTTGGGGACTAGGTGATTGCGAACCAGGGTTATGGTGGCCCCAGAATCGCGCAGACCCTGAAGGCGTTTTCCCTTTACGTGTACCCCTTGGCGGTGTCCCTGTCGGTTGTCTGCAGCTGCTTGTACTGGGTTAACCTCGTGGAGGGTGCCCAAAGATTCTTCATTAGACCGAGTCCCGAAGAAAGGTTGTCGAGGCTCACTCAGGTAGCAGTGTACTGCTGCCCGGTTTGCAGGGGAATTAGTTGGAGTATTCCACGTGGAGCGGTTTCTGTTTTTGGGACAGTCTCTCTGCATGTGGCCCTGCTGGTTACACGTGTGGCACCTGATGAAAGATCTGGCATTGTTGTACCGTGGAGGGGTTTGGTAGTTCCCACCACCCGGACGCAGTGCTGGGGTGGGGTTAATGGTGGGAGGTGGGTTAGCAGCTCCCAAGATGGACCGTGCCTGTGCCCGCTGTGCCCTCCTGGCATCTTGGTACTCGTCTGCCCACCTGGTAGCGTCAGTTAAGATGCGTGGTTTCCGATCCCTCAGCCAGTTTTGTAAATCCGGGGTTAACCCCTGGAAGAATTGCTCCAGTAGCAGTAATTGTAGCATGTCCTCCACTGTGGTTGCTTGTGCGGCTTGCACCCAACCTTTGCCCGCCCTAGTTAAGCGGTGTGCCCACTCCATGTGAGTATCTTTCTCCGTCTTTCGGCTTTCTCGGAACCGCTGCCGGTATGCCTCCGGGGTAATTGCATACCTGTCCAGGATCGCCTGCTTTACTTTCTGGTAGTCTCTGCTATCCTCGTCTGGCATGGTGCGGTAGGCTTCTGCTGCCCGGCCCGCTAGCTTACCCACCAACAGGGGTACCTGGCGTTGATCTCATGTAATTGGCATAACCTCTCAAAGTCATGCAAGTAGCCATCGATGTCTTCGGTCTCCACATAGTTTTTAAAAGTATGGTACGGGATTTTAGGCTTCCCCGGTACTATGTGTGGTGTGATTAGGGACCCCTCTCTGGACCTCCGGTCTGCCCGCTGCTTTTCCATTATGTATTCGTGGACATCTGCCATAATCCTTTCCAAGGTTTCTGTGGGAGGCGTACCTGGGAAAAAGGCCAGTCTGCTTTGGAGTTCTCTTCCAAACTCATTCTGTGTGCTGTCCATAAGAGGTGCTCCAGCAGCTGCCCGGTCTCCCTCCATGAGTTCAGCAATAAGGGTAGCTTTGGTTTTATTGCTGGCAATAATTCCCCTTGCTTCCAATAGTTCTTTTAGCGTGGCCCGTTTCAAGTTGGTATAGTCTGTCCCCATTCACTATCCGTTCGGGTATATTCACATACCCTTTCCTTTCGGTTCCATACGAAATAGCCAATTTCCGAAATGGCTGTAACTGCCGAACAACGGTCTGCTGTGAGGTTTGAATCCCGTCGCTGCTACCAATTGTGACGGACCCGCTGGCACTCCGACCGAGTACCTCCGCCAATCGATGCTCCTAGTGCTTGCCGAGGACTTCAAGCACTCCAACCGACACCATCAGTACTGCAGACTTATCCCATCCCCCAAGCATGAGCCAAGGCTTCAAGAAAGGGTCAAGCAGGTCTGTTTTAATGAGCACACAAAGCAACAGCACTCACGCAGCAAAACAACTCCTCCTCAGAGGAAAACAAACTGACAGTTAACCCCTTAAGGACTGGACTGTTTTTGCGATGTTGTACATTTGTGACCAGGCATATTTTTACACTTTTGTGGTGTTTGTCTTTGGCTGTAAATTTCCGCTCTTTCATTTACTGTTCCCATACAAATTATATATTGTTTTTTTCAGGACAAAAGGGGCTTTCTTTACATACCATTATTTATATAATCTCTAGTATTTTAATTTAAAAAAAATAAAAAAATATGATGAAAAATTGAAAAAAATACATGTTTTTTGACTTTTACTTGAAAATCTTTTACTCATCTACAAAAGCGAATGAAAAAAACTGCTAAATAGATTCAAAATTTTGTCCTGAGTTTAAAAATACCTAGTGTTTACGTGCTTTTTTGCTTTTTTTTGCATGTTATAGGGCTATAGGTACAAGTAGGATATTGCGGTTTCAAAACATACATTTTTAAAATTTATCAATAGTGACATTGTAACACTATTATCTGTCATAAATCTCTGAATAACACCCCACATGTACATATTTTTTTTAAAGTAGACAACCCAGGGTATTCAATATGGGGTATGTCCAGTCTTTTTTAGTAGCCACTTAGTCGAAAACACTGGCCAAAGTAAGCATTCATATTTGTTTGTGTGTGAAAAAAGTAAAAAAACTAAATTGAACGCTAATTTTGGCCAGTGTTTGTGACCAAGTGGTTACTAAAAAAGACTGGACATACCCCATTTGCAATACCTTGGGTTGTCTTCTTTTGCAAATGGTATGCCATCATGGGGTAATTCTCATTCCTGGGCTACCATACGCTCTCAAAGGCAACGTAACCAACCTGGCCATTTTCAATGTAAAAATATTTGACCCATATATTTAACCTTGTAACTTTCAAAAATGCTATAAAACCTGTACATGGGGGGTACTGTTTTACTCGGGAGACATCGCTGAACACAAATATTAGTGTTTAAAAACTGGAAACGTATCACAACAATTATATCATCAGTAAAAGTGCTGTTTGTGTGTGAAAAATGCAAAAAAAGTAACTTTCACTGACAATATCATCACTGTGATATGTTTTACTGTTTTGAATCACTAATATTTGTGTTCAGCTAAGTCTCCCGAGTAAAACAGTACCCCCCATGTACAGGTTTTAGGGTGTCGTAGAACGTTACAGGGTAAAATACAGTGCTAGCAAATTAAATTCTCTGGAATTTCGGCCTGGGTTGGTAGGCAGGTCCCTCAAATTGCAATCAATAAAATTACTGAATTATATAAAAATATTACATAAATACGCACGTAGAATTTAAATATATATGCATATTTATATATTTGAAGTCTATGTGTATATTTATATAATTATTTATGTAATTTTGTATATGGACATATGTATATTTCGTATTATTTTTATTTATTTATATATACATAGATATATATACAAATTCATTCTAAGTGAATTTTGATATAAATATATATATATATTAATTTTAAAATACAGTTAGAATAAAATTTCATATAGATATATAATTTTTTTTTAAATTTTTATTATTATTTAAAAAAAAATTATTTAATTTAAATTACTTATTATTTATATTTTATAATAATATATATATACAATATATATAGTTATTATATATATTATATATATACGTGTGTAATTTAATTATAAGTGTATTTTTATATTAATATAAGTACATTGTGTTAAGCGATCACATGGCCACAGGGGTCCTAATTCAGTGTGGGGAGACTGTCTGGGCTGCAGGCAGTCTCCCCACAACCGGAGCCATGCTGATCGCCGCCGGGGGAACGACGGCGATCAGGTAAGTAGCTCAGATCATTAGGACGGTTCAGGACCGTCATCGGTCGGCAAGCCAAAAATGCCGATGACGGTCCTGAACCGTCCTCGGTCGGGAAGGGGTTAAACTGGTGTTCAAAAATAATGGGGGTTTAGTTACATTATATGATCATACATTGCATAAGCCTGCCACAACGTCAATGTACCCCATCTTTGGCAGGTCCTACACTAACAGCCTAATGTATGCTCTTATGAGATTAACCACTTACTTGAGGAAAAAAATTCCATCTGGGGCTCTCTGCAGTACAAGGCTAAATAGGGCCCTGGGATGAGGCACCTGTGACAGGGGGGGTGCAAAACCAAGGAGTTGGCTAGACTCCCAAATATATATATATATATAAATATATATATATATATATATGAAACAAGGGGGGGTTGGCTGCACTCACCTGAACATGCATAAATGGGGGTGCTGCTGGGGGCCAAATATATATATATATATATATATATATATATATATATATATATATATATACAGTCTTGATGTACATACATCCCCTCTCTTTTATTATGAATATAGCAATACGTTTGGCAAAGAAAAAATAGAGACATTACTGTCCCATATATACTTCCTGAAGTCCTAATCCCTTCTAGGCGCATCTACCTGTTATCAGAACCCAAACTGAAAATTCTGAAGGAATACATGAGAGAGATCCTAGAAAAGGGTTTTATCAGGCCTCCCTCATCACCTGCTGGTGCTAGCATCTTTTTCATAAAAACAAAAGATGGTGGCGGAAGACCATGTGTAGATTACAGACACATGAATAATGTTACCGTAAAATAATTGTATCCGTTGCCCCTCATACTGGAATTGATAGGATGTACACTCTTTGTGTACATTGAACAAGACTTCAAGGAACCTATAACTTGCTTTGTGCATGGAAAAGGGATGAATGGAAAAAAAACCTTCAGAACCATGTAACTATGTTCATGGATCTGCGGCTCCTATGCAGGGCCAAATATTTTTGGTTACACAGGCAAAGTTGCATTTTGTCGCCCTCCTATTCCCCCTCAAAAAATACATCTTCACTTGTGTTTTCCTTAATCCCCCTATTAATATTCCTGACCCCTTTTTGTGTTTCTTTTGAATGTTTTACACAGCCACTTTTGCGTATCTTGATCTCCCCTTCCTCATCTCCTCTGCCTTTGTTACCCCCTGAGGCCCTCTGAGGGTCTCCTACCCAGCCTATGTCTGTCTCTTTTGCCCTTTCCCCAGTCCCTGTCTCTCTCTTTGTCCCCTGCACCCTTGTATGTATGTTTCTCCAACCAGGCTTCTTTGTGTGTCTCTTTCATTCATTCGCAGCTCCTCTGTTTGTTCCCCCACCTCCAGCACTTTGTCTTTTTCTTGAATATCATCCCTTAATAACCTTTCAAATATTTTCCCAGCCACAGAAGTTAAGCTCACATG